CAAGTCAAGAACAGAGTGAAACAAATGCAACCTGTTTGTTCACTGCTAGCTTTCATTGATCTCACATAACTCAAGTCCCAGCCTAGGGAATAGTGCCACCCATACCGTGTCTTTCTATATCAGTTAACAAGGTAATACCCCACAGACATTCCCACAGGCAAACCTGACTTATGTAATTCCTCAGTTGAGGTTCTGGTCACAGGTGATTCTAAGTTGTGACAAACTGACACTTAAAACAAATCAACATAGCTTCCTGAGTGTTGAAATACATGTTTATTTTAATAAACAAATCACAGTTGATCTATTTTGTAACTCTTTAAAAGACAAACCTCTCACAACTGTGGGTCTTGATGTGCCAATAATAAAACAGAAACATTGTGAAGATTAGCTAGCATCACTCATCCAGAACACACAAAGGCACTTGCAAGTGCACACACACACACACACACACACACACACACACACACACATATATGAAACTGACTTTAGACCAGAGAATCACATTGGAGTAAAAACAAATGCTAATGCAGAGGTTATGCAGTTAAATTTGTGGACTCCTTTGTTGATGTCATTTTCTTGTCTTAAGGGAAGAGAATGATCACAGACAGTATGTAACTTTAACTAATACAGCCTGCTAATTAAAATTATAATTGCAATCTCATTCATTCTGTGATTTATTATTTGTAAGAGAATTAATAGCATTTTAATTAAACTTATTTAAATTATCACAATTATTAAATATAAGTAAAGTTGAACTCCTCAACTTTATTATCTTTACCCACTTATTCACCAAACACACATTGGCTCTATTTACATAACACACTTATTTTACTGCCTATAAATGCCACTCATCCTTAAGATGTCCATGTTTTCCTGCCCTGTGTAGAAATTCTAAAGTTGGGCTCAATGTCAGTTGAACTATTGCCTCTTTTATTTCAAATAACAATATTTCACAAGTTAGGAAATTGTAAAGAGCAGCCATTTTGAAAAGTTATAGTAGTATCAGATACTCATATTAATTACCCATTGAAACATACTATTTCTGCACATTGGTAAATCTCAGTATTGAATAAAATGATCCATATTTTATCATCTGAGCCCTGATTTTTCTTTTGCTGAAGATTATATAAATCAAGAGTTATATTTTGTATATAATTTTATCACACTCCCTTTACCTACCCAACTTTTCAGATCTTAAATTTATTTAAATATTATGACTAGAATTCCCAAAATCATTTAGAATATACATGTGTGATTTAACATGGGAACATGGGTTGTCATGCCCATCTGCTGTGTAAAATCTAAAAACTTCTGTCAAAGCTTAATATGTCATGAGCTAGAAGTAGCATTCTAATGCAGAGTGGTCAGAGTGTATGAAGAGGATCACAAGCCAGGCACAGCGTGATCACCTTCAGTCCCAGGTACCAGTTGCCTAAAGTGGGAGAATTGCATGTTTAAAGCTTTTGAGACACATGGTGAATTCATGACCAGCCTGAGCTCTGTAGCAAGACCATGTCCCAAAATGAAAACAATAACAAAACATCTTAACACTGAGCAATTTTGTGGTAGGAAACCCAGCTAAATGCTTTATGAGTGTTCTTGTTGAATTGTCCCAGTATGTCCTGTGAGATGAGTATATTTTGATCACCATCTTATGATTGAGGGATTTAGGTGTGGAGATGAAATAATGGGTAGCTGATAAATATTGTCCATATGTCAGAAGAAAATTGTTTACTGATGTAATAATGTTTACAGTTACATGAATAATTGTGTCTTTGACTTAGTCTTATATAAATTCTTAAAAATCCTCATTTCTACAGATCACCTATGCATTATGCTTGTGCATATGGCCATCCTGATATAGTGACCATCCTACTACGCTGGAATTGTGACATTGAGCTCCGTGACAGTTACAAAAGCACAGCACTAATTAAGGTAAATAGTAGCTAACAGTTTCAGTATGACATGGATTTGCTGTAAATGCTGAGAATAAACATGATTTTTTCTCAACTAAATGCAAATAATTAGTGAAATCCATGGAATTCTCATCTTGAGTTTCTTATCTTTCCAATGTATTACTTGATGTAATACCCACAGGCTTCACAGTATGGCCATGAAGAATGTCTGACAATTTTATTAGAACATGGTGCCAATCCAAATGCAATTGACAACAGTGGGAGCACAGCTCTGCACTATGCTGTTTATATAGAGAACATCTCAATGGTATCAAAACTCCTGGAATACAATGCCAATACCAGCATAAAGAACAAGGTAGAGACCACACAGCTTTAATTTCCAAACTATTTGGACTGGGTTTGCTTTACAAAGACTTATTTGCATATATATAATTTGATTCACCAAATCTAATAAGGCCTGCACATGGATATTTAAAAATATTTCATTGAAATTCTGATACAACTATGACATTAGAATCTCTGAAAAGGTAAGTTTAATATATGAATTCTCAGATTTCAGGAAGTTAAAACATCTCTAGAAGAGTGGGGTTTGATGGAACCTCCTTCCTTCCCAATGATATTTCACACTTTCCTTTGATTACATGGTTACTTCTGTGATGAATGTTATAAAGAGAATTGCTGGCAATATTACCCTGGAAATTGTAAATATATAACCACAGAGTTCATAAAAATGCTGACGGGAACCTTCTGGCTTGTTCGTTTTTTGGTTTATGAGACAGGATCTCATATAGTCCAGGTTGGCCTTGAACTTTTTATGTAGATGAGGATGGCACTGGTCTTCCTACCTTCATCTCTAAAATGCTGGGCTTATGGCCATTCTCCATCATGCCTCTCTCTGTGTTTGTGTAGCTCTGGTTGTCCTGGAACTCTGTCTCAGCCTTCCAAATGCTGAGGCTAATGGCATTCTCTCCCACACCCAGTTAGGTTAGTGGTTTTCATTGTGCTAAAATGACCCACATGGATGATTATCAGATTTTGTACTGATAAAAATTATATTTCATTTCTCATTTGTATTTTGCCTAAAAGTAAAAATAACTTTAAGTAGTAACTAAAAAGGAAGTGACCTAAAAATAAATTTTAAATAAATGTGTGTCAGATGTGTATAAGAGATCTTACAAATGAGATATTACTCTTCTTATGATAGGAAAAATTCCCATGGACCTTTCACTAATAAGCCACCAAAGTTCTAATTTTTATCCACTTGTATATTTTTACCATTTTGGGGTTATTGGTGTTCATGTGTGCATGTGTGTGTGTGTGTGTGTGTGTGTGTGTGTGTGTGTGTGCATGTGTGCATGCAAGCACATTCATGTGTGTATACATATCTGAACCTATATCTATGTTATTTGATGCCAGGCATCTTTTCTCTATTCTCCACTATAATTTTTTTGAGACAGCATGTCTCATTGAGCCTGATATACCCTAATTCACCTGGGTTAGCAAGCTAATGAACTTCAAGTGTCCTCCTGTCGTTGCCTCCCAGTACTAAGATGGCAGGATGTGCCATCATGCATAACTTTAAAAAAGATCTAAACTCAAATTTGGATAGCTTGCACAGTAAACACTTAAATGACTGAGATCTTCTTCCTGATATCATCCTTGCACACATTTCACACCATTTTAACTTCATGTGTTTACTGATAAAAGGTTTATACATGAAGAATTTATGTCAAGAATGCCATTCCACTGCATGGTAAAATATATGCACATGTTTTCATTCTCCAAGAACTTAATCTTTTAAACTGCCTGAAAAGTGGAGGTCAGACCAAGAATCTAAACAGCTTCTACAGACAGATATTCCATATTTAATATATCATATATATTGTGAGAGATTCATAAAAATAATGAGAAGTCACTTAATATAGTGGGCAATTTATTGAAAGGAAGAGCTGTCCATATGTGAGTTATTCACATCATGTGACTTTTCTTTATATTCTCATAAGCCTTGAGCTTACTACAGTGGCAAAAAGAAGTGGCCATGAAATTTGTTCAGTATTGTACATTTTAGTCATTTTTTACATTCTTGTCTTATGTACAGACTGTGACATCACTCAAGTTTTGTTAACTTAAAATGAAAAGAGAATCTGTGTGTCTTTATAGTAGTAAATGCTAACTATTTAACAGTGACCCATGCACTCGTGATACACATTTCTAGTTATGTGTCCCATCAGTAAATGGGGTTTCAAATAGTCTCATGAGACTGCACAGATCTATTTGTGTTGCTCAAAGGTGATCTCATTAGGTTGCTGTTGGTCATGCTATCTGATGTCTGCGAGTTGGTATCTCTACAAGGGAAGTTTGTTTAAAATTATCTTTCATGTTGCACCTATTTTTCCTCATTTTATTATTGGTGCATGTTGTTTATACATAGTTTGATTCTTCCATTTATTGTTTCTATAACTTGTTTGGTATACTAACACAGAACTTATCTTTGCTATACATTAGATGCATCCTCCTATAGTTCATTCTTGATGACTGAAGCAAGACCTTTCTCTTAACTATGGTCCTGTGAATTATGACTCATTCAACCTGACTTATGGGAAGGGACATACTCTTCCTGGCACTTTAATTGTGTCAAATGTTGAGTCTTTCAGCTCCAGGTCATTTCCTGGAATGCCTGAGTTGATGGGTGCTCTGCAGTATGTCCAAGGTTGCCTCTCTAGATCTCAGAGCATCCATTCCTCCCTTTTCAGTTCCTTCCTCTCTTGAGTTCTGTCCTGTGATTTTGATCTGCCTTGTTTCACCAAATAACATCTCAGCTCCAGGAGTCTAGTAGAGTCTGAACAACTGTATCCACTTCATCTCCTAACAAAGCCTGAGCTATCTTGTAGCAGGGTGATAGAAAATTAGTGTAATAGAATGTAACTATATTCATGCCTAATAGGGACAATTTTCTTCCTTGTCAGAAGTATTCCAGTCTTTAAATCATATTTTTTCCTGATTTGAGTTGTGTTACTTCAGGTTGGTGTCAAAACAAGTACCTGTTATTCAATCTTTGTCAGAACTGGAAGGCGGTAGCACCTGGGCAACTGCTGTAGACTATGTACAATGTCCTCTTCACACTGGTCACCTATTTCTTGTTCATGTGTCATGCCTATGCATCTCTTCCATTAGGATGTCAAAACTTGATTTCATTTCAGTGTCATCTGAATTTGTAATGTTTGTGTTCATGTCTGCCTTTCCCATTAGTTTTTAGGCTAAAGTACCATAATTTCCCCAGCCCAATCACAGTTTTCCCTCCATCCTGCCTCTCCTTCTAGTCTGTACACCTTAGCCTCCCCTTTCCCCACACCATCTGCTCCTACTCCTTTCTCTTCAGAAAGGGCTGGTCTCCCATGTGTATCAGTCAGTCATGGTATATCAATATGCAGTAAGACTAGGCACCTCTCCTGCTGAGGCTGGATGAGGCAACCCAGTAGAAGAAAAGGGTAAGAGAGTCAGTGACAGGCCCTGCTCCCACTGTTAGGAGACCCAAAAGAAGACCATGACACACCCTGTAACATATATGCAGTGGGCCTAGTTGAGTCCTATGCAAGCTCTCTGGTTAGTGGATCAGTCTCTGTGAGCCCCCATGAGCCCATGTTAGTTGATGCTGTGGCTTTCTTTTCATGTTCTTGGTTCCTCTGGTCTTAAAATCCTTCCTCATCCTCTTCAACACTGCTGAATACATACATATAATTAAAAAGAAAAAAATCTTTAAAAGACAGTGAGGAAATGATCATTGTTTTATGCAAAAATTAAGAAATAGAAGCAGCACAGTAAAGAACAAAATACTGAGCAAGGTGAAGTCTGTTGTTTGGGTTTGCCTTCTGGTTTGTTTTAAGACAGTAATCATGAGCTCTAGACCTGCTTTAAGCTTTCTCTTTAATGCACTTTGGACTTGAATTTGTAATTCTACTGCGGCAACCTTTCAAGTGTTGTGGTTATAGGTATGTCCCATCATGTTTCACAATAGATGTTTAAGTATTAAGGCATGAGAACTGCTTTTAATTGACTAACGAATGTTGATTTCACAGCATTATATTTTCAGATCAGTATTTGAGATGCCTCCCACAGTCTTGTCCTTTATCTCCTGCTTAAACCAAGAGATCCTCAATGCATTATGTTACATGATCATTGCCAGCTGATCGGTACTAAGACAGTAACCTATAAATTATAACAAATATACAAAATGGTTTGGTTAATGGAGTTAGTGAATATCCATGAAGTACTGAGGCGTGTTCTGGGCTTCATGTTGTCATGTGTTGCCACTTTCAGTAGTATGATAAATGACTCAGTGCAACTTCCACAAAGATCTCATTCACTGGTACACCAGCTAAAAGATGATCAGACACAATCACACTAACACAAACCGCAATTATTAAATGAGGTCCACTTTGTGATATATATTTTCTTAGTGTTTTAATGTAGAGTTGCTAATTTTATCTTCTTAATATTCCACTTAGAAGCTTCATGTCCATTTTGCAGATGAAAAAGTAAGACCAGAAATGTTAACTTGTCTGAGCTGAGTACATAATATATGTTTAAATCATAGTTGGTGAGCTGGTGCTTTGGATATAGAAATAAAGGTCACTGTAGCCAATCTCCCCCTGTTGCAAATTTTATCAGTTTGAGTGTTTGGTAATTTCTAAAAACAACACCATGTACTACAGACCTTGAAGACAGGTCCATAAATAAACATTTTTGAAATTGTCCAGGTATTGTGACACTAGGCATTGTGGACAATGACATCCCTATTGCAGTTGCTGAGATGACTTTATAGGTGTAGCTTATCATAGTCATAGCAACATGCAAAAGAAGAAGAGCTAGATGTGTTCTATCTAATTAAACATCAGCATGATGTTTAGGTGGACATTGTGATGCAGAATATTTTTGGGAGGCCCTGCTGGTCAGAGGTTGCAGTCTACCATGGCTTAGCAGCTTTCTCAGAGATTGGCAACATGAAGGAACTCCCCCCATCCCAGTGAGGCTTCGTGCTCTCTACCTGCCTTTATTTGGAGAAGATCTCTAGGCCTGGAGGAGGCCTAGCCTTACCTGAAAACTGTTCCTAAGCCTGGGTGCCTGATTTATCTCTAGTGTGATCCTTGGCATAGATCACTGCTGGAGCTCCCCGCTGCTGCAAATATATTAATTAGACATTGTGCTAGGAGCTTTATGACAGGACCATTCTTCCACAGAAGGTAATTAAGACTTGTACTAGGAACTTTATGATAGGAGCCTGCTGTTTAATGCAAATTAGATGATTCCCCAGCTGCCAAAGCTGAGCTGACTCACTGAAGCTGTCTCATGGAGAGCTGTCTCTGCAGACCCTCAGGCAGTCTGACCCTGCTCACTTTCTGTAGTTGCGGTTTCTGGTTCTGCTTGGTCCCACAGTGGTTTAGTCCTAAATAAACACACAGAGGCTTCTATTAATTATAAACTCTTCAGCCGATGGCTCAACCTTCTTACTGGCTAGCTCTCTCTTAATTATTAACCCATTAACTATTAATGTGTGTATTTTTACATGGCCTTATCTTAACATAGAACTCCTGGCATGTTCTATCTTCCCAGTGTCTACACAGTGTCTCTGTGTGGCTACTCTCTCTGCCTTCTCCCCAGAATCCTTCTCATCTGGTACCCCCACCCATGCTACCTGCCTGGCTACTGGCCAATCCATGATTCATTCACCAACTAATAAGAGAAACATTTATACAGAAGGTCATCCCCCACCAACTTTTTTCTGCCCCCACCTCATGGATCAGTGGCTGATGATCACCTAAGAGACTAACAGAATATAATGTTATTTTCCTAGTTCTTTAAAAAAGACTGTAGGTTGTTCATAGGTTACAAGAGATTTCAGTCCATCATGTAGCACAAGGCAGTGGAGTAGCTCTGTCTGTGGCTTTCTCATAGAACAATAGACAGGAAGCAGGAAGAAGAAATTGGATCCAGGGGCAGCAAATACCTTAAAGGCCTGCCATTTTGATTGAGTCCCACCAACCAGGCCCACCTTCTAAATGCTGCATAGCATTCAAAACAGTCTTAAAATCTATGGAGCAAAGCTTCAAAACATAAGAATGTGATGACTACTTCAGATTCAAACCATAGCATTTTACCACTGACCTCCAAAGGCTCATGGTCATCACATAATACAGACTTTACTTAGTCCAGCTTCAAAGGCCAGTTAATCTGAACAGTGTTCACATTGTTCCAAAATCCAAAGGTTTTTTCTGAAACTTGAGTCAAATTCTTAGCTTTAAGTCTTTGTAAACAGGAAAGGTTACACAAGTTTTATGGCTATTTCATAATGCACACCAAAAGACAAAGACAGGAAAATATTACTGAAGATTGTTCCCAGAGAAGATGGAAACCCCACAGGACAAATATTAAAACCTAAAGTTCCATATGCAGCATCTAGGGTACATGGTGATCTCATCTGATCATTGGCAGATTTAGGCAGCACTGGCTCTTGTCATGTTGTTGGTAGCATGCAGGGTCTGTTTCGTGCTATAGTTCTCTTAACTTCCTGGTACTTCTCTCATTAAATATGTCCTATTACTGATTTCTGCAATGTCATATCATTACACTTATTCCAACATAATGTTCCTTTTCTTTGCTTTATACATATCCTCAGAGGATATATGAAGGACCGATCCATTCACTTATCCCAGTAGATGACAGATGGGGTGGATGATGGGGTGAGCCAACTCATATTCCTGGTTCTGGACCTGGATAGTTCCAGAGTTGGTCAGATTGCTAGCTCTCCATTATCCTCACCACCATGGTGATCTCCCTGTGTTGTCCTGGAAAGTTCACCCCTTGCAGTGATGAGCAAAGGACAGGACCAGTTCTCCTACTTTCAAGTACACTGTGTCAGATCTCCCACACCCACACCTGCAGCAGCTGCTCTACCGTGTAGTCCAGGTGTGGAATAGGGGCCTGTCTCTTGAGTGCTGCCACTTACGAGAGGCAGGACCAGCTCTACTGTGGAATTAATGGGATCAGTATAGGGGGTTTGAGGCAGAAGTAAAGGGTATTTCTACTTTGCTCAAGCCATCGTTTTATAGTCGACTTACAGGTACATTTATCCCATGCTGACAGACACAGAGATGGCTCTGCCAAGAATTGTCTTAATTTCACTGCCCAGTGGAGGTACAGTATGTCCCCTGCATAGTTTTTCAGCTGCGGGGGGACAGGGGCAGATCTCTCACCCTTATGACTTCAGGATAGCTGTCTTCCATTCTTGCTGTTAGATAACTAATGGGGGCAGTTCTCACACACACCTCTGCCAGAAGCTATATTTTGCTGCCCAGGTGAGGAGCAAGGTCTTCTCTCCTGAGATTTGCAGATGGCCAGAGCCAGGGAGACAGGGCTTACTGTTCTCCTTTCCTTATGCCCTTATGGCCTCCCATTCTCCTCAAGCATTGATGGGTGGGGTGAGGCACAGGATCTCTCATGCCCAATTATTTTACACATGAATATCACTGTAAACTCTGCTAAAAATAAGAAGAATAACAATGTCACAGCCTTAAGGGTAATGATTTGTAAAATATTTTCACCACTCAATAAACTATCCTGCTATGATTAATTCCAATCAGTGAACATGTCAGAGATTGGGAACCACAATCCTTGACAGAATATAACATGGATGCTTCAGACTGACTCTCAGTAAGAATATTTAAATGCACAAGAAACCTCATGATCAGAGCTTTTGTTGTCTGTATTTTTATGGACATTCTGGTATCATGAATCACATCAGAATGTCTCATTAGGCTGACCTTATTCTGGGCCTTCTGTAAACCATAGCTCCAGATTCTTTCATAGGCCCTTTCATAAGTTCCTGAAGCCTAATGATAACATGGCCACTTTTATTATAGCAGTGATTATGTTGCACCCTCTTACCATGTCAATCATGTTTCCTCACTGCATAGAAGTGACCTGACAAGTCAAGTTGATAGAGCACTATCTACCATCTGCCAACCCATGGCAGAACAAGGATCTTTTAAGGACTGGGACCTGCAGCTCTGAGGAATGTCTGCCCCATGCCTAAATCACAAGGTAAACAAGTAGAGGGTAGATGCGATGGGAGGTGTTCTGTGACTGGTTCCCATAGTGTGGTCAGAGAGGGAGATGTGGGAGGAAGACATGGAAATCGACATCGGGACTGGAAAAATCCCAACATATGTACACATACCACACACCACACTGCATCTGACATTCAGACTGAGAAAAACCTGTAAAAACTCTGCTTGCAAGCTTCCTTTGTTGTTGCTACAGTCCCTAACCCACCACCAAGAGAAGTAGAGCCACAAACAAGAATAGCTCTAACTCTTGTGTTTTGGCACTGAGGAAGCACTGTCTCCAATGTGTGGTTAGGCGCTGCTGGCCTCCAGGGACAGAGAGCCACCACAGGAGATACCACCTACGTGATTCCTAGGTAAGACACTGCAGAACCGGGCACATATTGGCACTGCTGTGTGACCTAGAGAGGTTCTCTCCACCTTTGTTCCTTTCTGTCAGCACAGTTGAGACTTATCCTGAACCCACCAGGATTTCGGTTTGTGAGGTCTGGTTGGAGCAGGCTACCCTAACTTTGGTCCCATCTGCCAAGCTGCATGGTGAGTCTCTGACCTATCAGACATGAAACCTGGGTTTTTGGCAAGGGTAACATTGCAAGGTCCAGTATGTACCCTTACACCCTACAGACATTGAAATGGAGGAGTGTGGGCTGAATTAGTGTGGAGTCAGAACTGGACAAAGGGTCCTAGAACCAGGAAAGATACCATGGAGACTGGCATATAATAGATAGTACTTGGCCTTGCTTCAACCCCTAGTTCTGTGTAAAAGATTCCACTGTTCCTACTAGGAGTTCCTTCCAAATGCCCAGGAGGTTAATGGTGTGCCTGTGAAGGGACCTAGTCATTCTGTGGGCAGAGACCAATGGGTAGAAGTTATGTGTCTCTGGGTGTATGGGGAAGAAAGGTTTCCAGGAGGAATAAGGGGTGTGAGTGGACTGGTAAAGAACTAGGAAGAGTTCAACAGGCAAGGATTTGTCTTCTCTATTGATTTCCCATGCATTCCTAATATCCTAGGCAGTTCTGTGGGCTCCAAATGTGGAGGTTAAGAGACCTTTAGACATGCTTCCTTGGTAACCCATTTCTTTCTGACCAGGGTACAAGACAGAGGTGAGAGAGAGGATCCTCCACCAATCCACACCTTCACAAACTGAAGAGCAGATCCAGAGGCAGAGATGAGTTTAGACTTAGGGAACAGGTGGTGGACATCTGATAACCTAAGCTACAGATCTATACAAGAGGACAGGAGGTCAGCACCCATCCTGCTACAGTCACCCCTGAGAGGCAGAAGGCCCTCCAACTGCCCCATCCTCTAGCCAGTCTTCCTGTCTCTGATAAACTAGGAGTCCACAACTACCACACCCTTGCAGTTATCATGCTGTGCCAGATGCTGTCGGAGTTCATGACTCCATAGGTAGCTAGGAATGCTGGTGGCCTCCTTCCTTGTAAAGCTTCCATGGCAGCTTGTGGTATGATGAAAGCTAGTCTTTAGAAGGAACCTTTCAGGTCAGTTCCAGCTTAGGAGCCTCTGGGCCCTGTTCCTGATTACATGTTGTCTTCAGCAATAGGGACTTACCTTCCACCTTGAGGGGTCAACCAAGGGCAAGAGCAACAGGCTAACCCATGTGCAAACACGTAGGCATGTGCATGTGCACATGCACACACACAGATAAACATGCGTGCACACAAGCATACACATGCACACAAAGAGGCCTGCTCATGTCTGGTATTGAGATTTTTGTTGAGTGGTCTCGGCTCTTGGAAGGGACAGTGAACATTCACTTCTTGCTCAGCAGGAGTTTGCTGAATGGCAACTAGGTAGATCTCTGACAAGGTGTGGAGACTGGCAGCCTGGTTTGGATACCAGATCTCTTGCTCCCTATGTTGAACAACTGCTAAACACAAGGTGACACTCCCTTATTCCTAGACAGGTTTCATGACAGCTTCACCTGGTGGCCCTGACACAGGGTTTTTCAGAGAGGCTTGTAGGGCTCTGGCCCAGGTGCATAAGCACATAAATATGGTCTTGTGCCTAAATGGTCTTTCTTTTGCAGTTGGTTTTTTGAGAAGGTCTCACTGTTTAGCTCAGCCTGGCCCATAATTCATTGTTTGCCAGGATGGCCTTGCACTGCAGGCAGTCATTGTTCCTCAGCCTTCAGTCAGCCAGACATCTAAACAGCCAGCTTGATTCTAGGACAGCTTAATGGCATTTCCTGACTTCAGTGCCACCCTCCCCTTTCTCTTCCTCTACAGCCATGGCAAATACCCCTGGACAGATCCAGAATGCTTTCAACTCACTTTGCCTCTGTGTGTGCTATATACCCCCACCCATGAAAGCATCTCAGAAAGCTACACTTACAGTGTTGTGAGGGCCCATGGCCTACAGTGAGGTCCATGTGGAGGTTGGCTGACCCAGCTCGCCCAGCACTGATATGACAGTGAGCCTAATCTCACTGACTGTCTAATCATGGCACTAACATGTAGCACCATAAGCACTGAGCTGGCTCTGCAGAGATGCCAAAGGGTTGGCTGCCCCATGGAAATCCTCAGCCTGCTGTGAGTGCCAGAGAGACTGCAGTGGTGAGGGCTGGGATATGCTATCAGAAGGGCCTCTTGTTAGCATGTGGCCTACAGCTGTGGGTGTGGTTGAGGGGCCTGTGTGTCAATGCATTTACCCAGGTATGTAAAATGTTCAGAGGCACATGGATCACAGCTCGTGGGAGCCTAATGCAGGACTATTGTTACAAGTTGAGAATTTATTCAAATAAAATAAACAAGTAAGAAAATTAAAAGCAGAAACAAGTGTGGCTGTGTGGGTTTGCAAGACAGACAATGGTTCACATACAAGTGTGTGAGGACACATGAGTGGGTGCACAAATGTCTGCGTGCCTATGAACATGCACTTTGTGCATGGATATGTGTGCATGTTTGGCACATCCATGGTAAGACTGTATGTATGTGCTGGAGGGGTTGAGCACATATGCAAGGTTCCCACACAAGCACGCTCGTGTATACAAGTATAAGAATTTGGGAATACGTGTACACTTATATCTTCTAGGATGTTTAAGACCACATAGGCACCTGTGCTAGATAGTTTTATGACTACTTGACACAAGCTAGAGTCAATGGAAGGAGTTATCCTCAACTGAGAAAAAGCCTCCATAAAATATAGCTGTAGGTAAATCTCAGGGGCAGTTTTTAAAATTAGTGATCAATGCAGGGTGGAGGAGCAGCCCATGGTGGGTGGTGCCATCCTTGGGCTATTGTTCCTGGGTTCTATAAGAAAGCAGGCTGAGCAAGCTGTGAGGAGCAAGCAACACTCCACTGTGGACTTTACATAGACTCTGACCTTCAGATTCCTGTCCTGTTTGAGTTCTTGTCCTGACTTCCTTTGATGATGGACTGTGATGTGGAAGCATAAGTCAAATAAAGCCTTTCCCAAGTTGCTTTGGTCATGGTGTTTCATTGCGGCAATAGAAATCCTAACTTAGACAGTGCTCACATATGTCTATGGATTGTGGATAGTTGTGCACATTTTGAAGTGGGAAGGGGTACCTTCTGAGATCATGAGTCTGTGTGTCAAGGGAGAGTAATGTGAACAGAAGTAGACATGTGTGTTCACTTATCTGTAGGCACTTTTATGTGTGTGTGTGTGAGTGTGTGTGTGTTAAGAAGGTATGTCTTAAACCATGCTGGCTTTGTGCATGGACTGCTGAGTGTGTGTATGTGTGTGTGTGTGTGTGTGTGTGTGTGTGTGTGTGACCATTTTCATAAAAAGCTGGAGTATGGGGGCTGGAGAGATGGCTCAGTGGTTAAGAGCACTGACTGCTCTTCCAGAGGTCCTGAGTTCAATTCCCAGCAACCACATGGTGGCTCACAACCATCTACAATTCAATCTGGTGCCCTCTTCTGGAAAAACACTGTATGTGTAATAAATAAATAAATCTTTTAAAAAAAGCTGGAGTATGTACATGTGCATTTCCATATATGTACAATGTGTATTGGCTATGGCTGTATGTGTGTGTTTGGTGTGTGATATCTGTGTGTTGACTGATTTTGTGTATAGTTGCATATGTTTCAATGTACAGGTGTTCATATTTGTCTAACTTAGGATGGTCATGGCAATGCATGTTTGTTCCCTTGGGATGGTCATCCTAATTCAAAGGTCCAATCTCCACTATCCATTCACTCAGGCTGTATACCTCAGGAAACTTTCATATCCAGAGACTCTGGGTCCCTCTATGTCATCCCAATCCACATAATTGACTCTCACTATGTCCTTTGCTGATGGGACTAGAATGATCTCCCAAGCTTGGCACTGCATGGCTGGAAATATGGGTTGGGGTTCCCAGCACTCTGTCGTGTTATCAACTATGTAGCATTGCTTTCATCATGGGTGTAGTGTTGCTTGGGTCATTACTGAGTCTCAGAGGGTAGAGCTAAATTTCCAGATACCTGAGAACCTGATATGACAGGCATGGGTGGTAGGAATTATAGAGCTCCCTGTGGTTCCAACGGAGGATTGTGTTGCTTGTTGACCTTAGTGGGGGGAATGTATGCATGTGCAGTACACACTCTTCACAAGCCTGTACACGTTAAACCATGGTTTCTTGTGGTTAATGGAGAATATCTCTGTACATAATCTCAGTGTGATCTGGTATCATTGTGGAATCCTTCCCAAGCACACACATTTCTATAGCTCTAAGAAAGAATTAGAATTCCTCCCCAGTCTTGACAGAGACCCTTCAACAGAGATCAGCAAGTACTCGGAGAAGGAGATAGGAATGGTGGTATCTTATGATAGGATCACTCCATTCCAGAGAGAAAGCTATTTTCAGGGTATGGATATTAAGGAAGGACAGTGCCCACACAGGAAGACAGGAAATGAACTGTTGGAAGGCAGAGAGCAGGGGTAAGTATGAACTTTAGACAGGGGAGAGGGATGACTTTGAAAGAGAAAAGAAGGCTTCAGGGGGACAGCTATGCAGAAAAGGGCAGACACAGGCAGAGAAGTGTACCCATAGGAAACACATGTGAAGGCAGTACGTGGTTTGGAATAGATCTGCTCTGGGCCATCAGAAAATGCAAATCAAAATAATTCTGAGATACCATCTTAATCCTGTCAGAATGGCTCAAATAAAAAAACACCAATGACAACTTATGCTGGAGTGAATGTGGAGAAAGGGGAACACTCCTCTACTGTTGGTCAGAGTGCCAACTTTTACAGCCACTTTGGAAATCAGTATGGACGTTCCTCAGGAAAATGGGAATCAGCCTACTACAAGACCCAGCAATTCCACTTAGGCATATATCAATGTTCACAACAAAACAGAATGAGAATTAGCTTAATCAAATTTTAAATATTGTCCACTATTTGATGTATATGAGGAATTTGCCTGCTTGTATGCCTGTGCACCATGTACATCTGGTGTCCAGAGATGTCAAAACAGGGTGATGGATTCCCTTCATCTAGTGTTACAGGTGGTTGAGAGCTATGTGTGGGCTGGGATTCACACAGGGTCATTTGGAAGAACACCAAGTTGTCTTAATGTTGAGTCAAGTCTCCAGCTACCTGGACTAATTTGCATCAGAAATGTGGGCAGTTTTTACAACAATTCAGAAAAGATGATGATGATGATGGTTTTAGAGTACTTACAGTTGGTACAGTTGCAATGAATGGAACCAACATGTTTAAAACTAATATGGTAGACTTCCCCCAGAGTTGGCTTGCACAGGGAGGAGCTGCTGGAGCCAGGACACAGAGCTGCACTCTAGTATCTCCTCTGGCCTCACTCAGGGCTGCTACCTTCTCCCTCCTGAGGCTGAGGCTGCAAAGGGTCCACTGCTCCCTGTCCCTTGCTGGGAGTTATTGAATGTTATTCATGATGAATTGAGCAATGCTTTACTATACACAGGGCTCCTCCCAACCTGCACATTTTCAAGTGAAAGTAGAAGTCACAGTTTTCACATGACGTCCATGAGATGAACAACCTTACTTATCATCCCAAGAAGAAGTTGTAGCTGCACCAATCTTCCGACCATTGGCTTTTGGCTTTAAGGCCCTTGCTGACATTTCATTCAGAACTTGTACATGAAGACCACAGAACCATGCTGGGTGTGTAGGTGTGCAGCTCTGGAATCTCCTGGAGTTTCCAGAGGTGACACAGTGCACCTGAGATTGTTCACCAGCCATGGACATAGCTGTACTACGGGCTCAGGTTTGGGCATCCAATTTGGCCTCTACTTGATGCCAGGTTGGGTTTTGTAGGGTATCTGGAGTAGCAATTGCTGCCCCACAGCCACACTTTGATCAAGCAGCCCCAGTGACCCTGCTCCTCCACCTCAGAAGCTTCATGAACTTAGGTTCCAGGACCTGATCTGAGGCTCCTTTGCAGCAGCTGCAGTGGGAGTTGTGTTTGTCTAGGTGTTTGAGAGGTGAGCACCTGTTCACACCATGAGCACAGTGTGTTTTCTGCCTGATTGTCTCTTGTGCCAACAAAGTTTTTTCTTGGGACTTAGAGCTGAGCATCCTCATCACACAACACTCCATCCATCAGCACAACTTCTCCTAAAACCTCAGCTAGCAGCAGGGCCTGGGGACTTATAGATGCCCTAATAGCACTTGGTGTTTCTTTGGATGAGCCTCCGACAGAGTTTCCCTTATTTCATTCACTCACAATATGCCCCTCACCCCCAACCCAGTTCTCTCTGAGAGGCCACTAGAGCTACCTGAGCTTTTTATAAGGTTTGGCAGTCTCATTGGCTCGAAGTCTCCCATACTGGATCCCTAACAAAGCCTACCCGTCTTCAGGCAATCTCCATCTCCATGAACTGAAACAAAGGATAAACTGCCAGGGGTGAGAAGAGGTGTGCAGGGCCCACCAAGTAGGGGTGACACTGCCACAGAACAATTGCTAGCTGGGCAGCAACTCTTTGTACATGCTGCCAATATTTTCATGCTAATTGACTTCATCTGTTCCTCATCTGCATATTACTGCTCTTCCACCTTAATGTACCCCATGTCCTCAGAGGCACCCAAGGTGCTGTATGAGGTGGCTACTGCAGTAGCAAGCACTCTGCTTTAATATCCCTGGAGCTTGGAGGATATGCTGATACACAGAGACACAGTCATTTCCTTCTGGCCAGCACTACAGTGGCTACAATGCCTTTGCCATTGACTCTGGAGCTGAGCAGCCTCATCAAGTCAATGGGCATCTCCATCCACAGGTTTACTTTGGACAAGGACTCCACCTACTGCCACAGCCTGCACAATGACTCATGTGCCCAATACTGCCCCCTATGGTTCCCCCTACTAATTTCTGCACATCTCTTGTCACCGTAAGTCTTCTGGCTGCTGTCCTGTCTGTCCAATTCACATGGGTTCCATGTGATACCCAGGGCCAGGACACCCTGTTAGACTCTAGCAGCTACTTGAGCTATTTCCTGAGCTCAGGCAGTTTCAATAGTAATGGCCTTCCCATGTTCAGCTGCCTCTCTGTTTCCTAGGGCTGAGCCAAGGAGGCACCCATGAGGCACTCAGAGAGGTGTTGTCAGGGAGCACCAGGCATGGTGACACTACTACAGACATTCTTAGATACACTGCAGAGCACATGCACTCAAACTCTACTCGGAGAGGCTCTTTCCATTTTGGATATTCTCAGTTCATATTATTATTGTTGTTGTTAATTATTATTATTATTACTAAGTCTTATTCTTGTTTAAAAAATGGAAAATTTACATGGATTAATGAAATATTCACAGCTGAGCACTTATGGTATTGATAGAACAAAAGATATCAAAGCATTGTTTAGGTCATAGAAGAGTATAAAACCTTGGTAAAAACAAAAACAAAAGCAAAAAGAAAACCATCAACCCAGCATCAGTGGCTAAGAACACTATTACATCTGTCACTTAAAAGCCTTAGTTCAGATGTGAGAACTCTCACCTTAGAAGTGTGGTTTTCACAGATCCCTCTGAGACTGCCATCAGCCTTCTTCCTAAGTTATAATCTTCCAGAATTCAATATAATGCCAAGAACTTGCCTTGGTATGAGTGGTTACCCCTCTGCCTTGTTTGTTATGGTTGTTTTACTTTTTATTGATTTGTAACAAAGTTACAATTGTTCAAGGGTAGGGGAGTCAGTGTTGTTGGTGGTGTTGGCAGAAGCCTTGCTTTCCAAAGGG